TTTTTTCTCTTAATTTTTAATTTTGGTTTTTTTCTTTTTCTTTCTTTTTTTTTTTTTTTTTTTTTTTTTTTTTTTTTTTAGCACTAAACTGAGAATTTTTATCTAGTTGAATCTATTAATACTGGCGAAGCTAAGAGAGCCGCGATTATTGGTAGATTACTGGAAAACTGCAACGAGGATGCTCAAGCTTCTTGATAAACCTTTGTAGATTTTTGAGAATATGTTGTGATATATTCTCCATTTTGAGAGGTCTCAATCTCATGTGTATAGTATGTCCATATTCATGGTATATCAAGGAAAGTTATTTGAAGAAGGTTATTGTGTTCCTGTGAATCAATGAAATAACTTATTTTTATTCTCCTCAATTCTTCACTAAGTTTCGGAGGAGGTTATTCAGTTCAATCACGTGCTTACCCTTTTCTTTTCATAAACAATTATTGCAAGTTCATCAGCATACATATTTGTCTTGATTCACTTTTATTTGTGCATTCTGGAAGGTTGGGTGGGCACCAACTGTTAAGCATTGGCCAGGAGTTAGTTCTCTGCGAGATTGGTTATGTGTATCAGCAGGGGGAACCTCAGAACTTGGCTTATGCTGTTCCAAGTTCTGGGAATTGGGACCTGATGGTGTTAACTTCTGTTGGTAAGTATTAGTGTTCAAGCTTCCCTTCTTCTTTGGGCTTCTACTGACTTGTCATGTTGTAAATCTATTCAGTGTTTGCTTCAATACTTAGTTCCAATTTGGGAAAGAACAACAAGGGCAGAGAAAGGTGCTGAAAGTTGTAAGATTAACACCTGTGCTTCTTTTGATAATGCTGAAGAGGCTTAAATATGACCCAGCTTATGGAATTTATCCTTACTTTGACAGATTGGACAAAATCTCAATTCTGAAGTCTCAGCTTACTTGTAAAAGCAAAGGTCACTTCCATTGGATATCTTTGTGATTCGGGCTTTATCACGTGGTTTGATGTCTAAATTTCATATTTCACGTCAACAATATTTTCCGCTCATTTTAGTTAATTTTACAAGAAGTTTTGGTAATATTGGTGCAATGCATTATTCTGTACTTTGACCTGTTCACAGTTAAGATTGTAGAGGACATGGCAGCTTTCAATCTACCTTCCATTTTGGACTTGTAAAATTGACGTGGCTGCTTATACTTGTTTGCTTGCCTCTCACATCTAACTAGTGTCCCCTATCCAACCACTCTTTATCATCATCTCCATCCTTATATCAACCAAATCTCAAATCCGATCCCCTCCAGCTCCAGCTCACTTGTAATTTCTGGTTTCTACTTTTAATTTTGGAAAGCAGCTGCCATCTCTGCTTAGTGCCTGAAGCTTTCAGGGAGAGACAGTCACTAGTTCTCACCCTCCACGTCAAACACGAGAGCACTGTATTCATTGCAATTCCTTCTATTGCAGTGAGTACTATATTGTTTGTTGTCCATATTTCACTTCTCCAATTTCTCATTACTAGTATGTTTTCTAAAGATAATGGATGTAGAATTATCAAAGCAAGAGGATAAGGGAAATGTGCCTCCCACAGATCAATGGAGAAGAAGAATCATATGTATGGGGGTAAGTGCTCTGGTTCTGATTCAGGACGCTTCAACTACTCCACTACCTTTTCCTTCAAGTACAGAGATGGCATCATTGGCAAGGCCCCCATTCCGGCTGGAAACAAATGTGCTTGCAGCACCCAAACCATGAATGATGATACTAACAGGATTTGCTATTCTCAAGTTCCAATGTGCATTCCAGATTTGCTATCGAGTACATTGCCTCTCCTGACTTACGTGACAATTTCTGGGAAGTAGGAAATTTGATCAATGTTCATGTGATCACCTACAGTAGTCGTAATTTGGAAATTGATCTCTCCTACAGGGGCCTTTTTAACTGAAAGTGTCAATACGAAACCCTAATTATAGTGTTTTGAATGCTCTTGATTTGTTGTCTTCCTGCTGCTGATTATTTGGAGAAAAGTTGGGATTCTTTTTAAGAACTTGCCAATTGATAGTCTATAGCCAGCAGCAGCACTAATCATGCTTTGTAGTTTCCTTACGTACGAAATTAGAAATTCGAGAAGTCAACCACCAAATTTTTACACATGTATGAATGTAGCATAGATTGATACTTTAAGGGTATTCTTGATTTCTCTTAGTTGATTTTCTGCTTTGATTCTCGTATTGTTTTGTCTAGAAAATGACAACAGCACATATTTCAGCTTATTACTATTTACATTTTTCTTCAGTTAATTTTCTGCTTTGATTCTCCTATTGTTTTGTCTAGGAAATGAACAGAACACATTTCAGCTTATTACTATTTACATTTTTCTTGAACGACTTGGTTCCTCTCTTCTGCTTTATTGTATGAAAGACTAATTTATGGAATTTGTTCAGTTCACAATTTGATTAACAATTATTTATGATTTGCATTCATTATTGTATAATCAGCAAAATTTGTCAATTTAGGAAACCTAGAGATGGCAATGGCTATTTGCGTTCCTTATTGTATAATTAGTAAAATATGTCAATTTAGTAAACCTAGAGGTGGAAATGGGCCTAGCCCTTAAACCTACGAGCTCGTGGCTCGTTAATAACGAGCTGAGCTAGCCCCACGAGCTCGTGAGTTCACAAGCCATGAGCTCATGGGCCGGGCCGGGGTCGAGCTGAGCCGAGCCCATGAGCTCGTGAACTGTGCCCTGAGCTAAGCTTTAACAAGTCGAGCCGACAAGCTGCTCGGCCCGTTTGACATTCCTAAGTAAGGCCGAAGCGTTTTTGATCTAATATTAGTCCATCCATGTTATGGGTGATCTAGGTTAGATCAGCAAATCATCATCATCATCAACTTAAAAATATTAATAGCTTATTCCTAGAATTACAATTTTCATTTTTCCATAGAGAGATTTGGAAAGTGTTTGAAATTATAAATAGATCGAAATGAGTATTGAATTAATGGAGAGTACATGTTGATCATTCAAAATGTAAATAAAAAGTGATTGGAATATTTAAAATTAATTTATAAAGATAAGCCCAACATAGGGTAATCTCCTGATTAGTTAATCCTGAATTACCTTGTGTTTTATGCTGAATTGGGAAAGATGCACTATCCGCAATTTTCTTTTTTGAAAGTTTTAGTTCCTTCTTTTTGTCACAATGTCTTGATCTTTATTACATCTCGTCACTAGTGGCTCCACATGGCCGACTCATTACATAAGCCAAGGCATGTGGCCTAGTGGTCGAGGCCCTAGGCTGCACAACGGAATCAAAGTCAACGCCTTGACCAAGGCTCAACGTCTTCGTGTCCAAAGAGCACTTGCCAAGGTGGTTTTGTTGAGACCGTTGAGGCCCATGAACCGAAGCTATGGCTTCCAAGGCGACTTCACTATCACTTCCTTCAAGAGATCTATTCCTTTACAAGTATCTTGTCAAACAAAGTGGCGGTTCTGCCATTTAATAAATGTAAAGTGGGCTAACAAGTCAAAGATGTAACGTCCCAACCTGTATGTATCGAAACGTCAGGAGATTAACTGTACTTTAGTTGTAAAATTTTTTTAAATATATTTTTAGTGGAAGGTATACTGATTAAATTCTAGAATATAATTGAAGAATTTTTTTTTAACAATAATTCAATACTAAAAGAAAACAATTTCAAAAATATTTTTAGAATGGGTTCCATACATGTAACGACTATTGACGTGAAATTTTTGACAAAACTTAAAAAGTAATGTTTTTTTAATTTTTGTTTCAAACGGTAATTGTCAAAATAAATTTGTTTGCATAGCTATCGACCTTGAAACTTCATCAAATTTTAATGTAAACTAGGAAATTTCTTATAATATGACATAGTTAAAAATTAGCTTCCATCGACATCATATGAGGTATTAAAATATTTTTCAAAATTTAGTAGCAACCCAGTTGAAATGTAAACTGGTGCAGTTCACTTAAAATGACATAAAATTCCACAAATATCCAAATCACATGATTTCAAATTTATTCAGTAGCTAATTCATGAGACTATCAAATCTAAATGGTTTCATCCAGAAATTTCAAGTAACGATTGATTTATGAATTTTTGAAGTCAAAGTAGAAGCTGGAAAAACGACAACTCTACTAGTGCAATTTACTTTATGCAACATATAAAATTCTACCGATATCGGATTGACATTATTCAAAATTTATTCATTAGCTAACTTATGAAGCTATCCATTACCACTAATTTTGTATAAAAATACCAAGTAACGAAGGAGTTATGAATTTTTAAAGACGAGGTAGAATCTGAATTCTTTTTAAGAGATAGCAAAACTTTAAATCGCTATTTTTTTTTTTGTAAACGATAATTTGTAAATTTATTCCTATAGCACATATCTACTTTCAAATATAATTTATTCATAAAGAATTTTCGTAGAATAGATCTACACACGACATCCATAGGAATCTAATTTAAAGAAAACGTAAACATTTCAAGATATTAAATCATCGGCTCCTCCATGGCATGTCGCATCATCATTTACCATCATCCACGCCCAAAAGAAAATCCTTTCAACCTGTAGGAAGGGAATTAACCCATGAGTTTGAAACTCAATACATATCATTGGTGCATTTCGTTGTCAAATTAAAAATTTCGAACTATAAATTCATACCATCTCACGTAGATGGATTTTCGGCAAAATCCAATTACTATAGTATTATCATAACACGTAGAGCTGGAAAATAATCATTCAAATTATTGTAGTGTCGAAGCACCATACCCGGAGGTACTATTTCATTAAAACAGTTATCGAAAATCATAATTTGAAACGAATTAAACACTTGCACCTTTACCTATATTGAATTTTTTTGGATATCAAGGAACAAAATGTGTAGGAAGTCTTTCTTCTTCTCACCCTTATTATTCTCTTAGCTTAAATTGACATGAAGTATATTTCTTTTTGAGAGAAAATAAGAGGAAATTCGAATTTGAGGGGTGTAGTGAAAAAGTGACATTCCACTTCTTGTAACGTTTCTTTTTAATGGAAAACTAAATGGGGAAGATGTATTATCATTAAATTTATTAAATTTGTTCTTTAACTAAGAATTTGAAGAGTTTTTAAGCCTAAAAAAATAATTCATAAAAGTTTATAAAAACATTTACGTGGTGATTCGAATCTTGGTTGCCTATATGAAATTTCATGTAGATGACCATTGTGGCAACCCAATTATTCATTAAATCTTTATAATCAAATTTAATTAAACTTAATCTTTTAAATTGTTGGACTTTTAATTTACCTATGGCTTGGGCTTTAAAAATCTTAAATGGATTGAGCTTCCATGACTCGTTTCTTGAATGAGTTAGGCTTGTGGTGCTAGATCATCATAACATAATAACCTAATTTCATTTTATTTTCTCGAACTTCTACAAAAGATGATGTCTAGAATTAGATGTATGGATTATGGAGATAAGGCCACGTATACTCCCATTTGAGGGGCACAATTCACATTGCACTACTATAAATACTTCCCCCATGTCACCATTGTAAGGCTAATGCAACTCTGCATACAAAATAATAAAGTTAATACGAAACAATTCACTCCATTTTATTCTTTTACAAATACAATTAAGTTTACATAATATCGATCATCTATGATTGGTAATTATTGTACAATCGTTCTTCAAATGTATTGCCCGATTCCAAATGTTGTCGTCCCACACCTTTAAGTTGTTCCCACCCCCTTTCTTAGACCATTCTAGACAATTGTTGTGTCTTAGTGTGTAGGACTTGGCTTACGTGTGTGTGGGTAGGTCCGGTATCTATTGTCCACATGGCCCTAACGACAAACGAGGTCAATAGATTGGCGTCGTTTGTGGGAAACTATACCATAACCACGAGCAACCGTGTGGTGAAAGCTTGTTGTAAGAAAAATATTTGGGCACCCCCCTTGAAAAAGGATTTGTTCTTGAAAAAGAACAAGAGAAAGTCCCGCAAGTTGAAAATTTTTTGAAGTATGAATCCAGGAAAATGAGTCTGATGAAGATGTACTCCCTAGACGGGTGAGAGAGAACGCTGGTATGGGCCCACTAGTGGCAGCTCCAACTGGTCATTGTCGATCTCACCATTATCACAGAAGAAGTGGAATATGAGTGGCAGCCCAGCTCACCAGGGAAGTAGCTACCATGGCAGCCACTATGAGGAACATCACCAATGAGAACTTAGCCATGCAAGAGCTGTTGATGCAAATGCAGGGCTAGGGAGGACAATACCTGTAGGAAGATGAGGTTCAAAGCCAACGAGCCATATCTCCTAGGTATGGGAGAGGAGTTAGCCCTATTGAAAGAGAAGTAGAGGTTGAAATTTCCACCAACTATGCCTCTGGTCAACTTATCGAAGTCCCATACAATATGGAAGATTACTTCCCGTCAGCGTATGAGCTAGAACAAAGACCTAGGAGGTTCCAACAGTGTGTTTGACAGAATTAGCTCGGTAGAGCCGAGGCCCAGGCAGTAACAGCAGCTTCGTAAACCTTGCGTGAGGCCACAATCCCCACCTCCAATTCAGCAGTCGGAGGAAAGGAAGAAAATGCCCCCCACGCTACTCGACTAAGAAATAAGCATCAAAGGAAGGAAGATGAGGCAAAGTATCAAGTAGGCCCCTCTTATCCACCATCCAAATATGAGGCCAATGAAAGCAATGATTCGGATGAACAACAGAGGTCTAGTGACTTAAACGACAATGATGAAAATTTACTATTTTTGAGAGACTTGAGGAATGCTCAAGTATCGAATCATTATGTCATACCGAAGATATCGAAATATGACAGGAGAGGCGACCCAGAAAAACACTTGAACACTTATAAAACTCACATGAGCTTGAGATGCGCTACCCCGATAGTAAAGTGCAAGGCCTTCAACTTTCTTGAAATGATTCGCCATAAGAAAGGAAGGAAAGGCCCCCATTCAATGCCTCCAGGACATGAGACAAGTGCCTGGGGAATCTTTGAAAAGCTTTTTATTGCGCTCTATGGATGAAATGATGCATTGATTGAAATGATGAGGGAACAGATAATTAATGAGTTAATTGAACATAGGAACAGGGCCAGTAGAGGCCTCTCGCCTCACAAAGGCAGTGTGTAAGAGGACCGATCTTCCATTTGATGGACTACCATATGAATTCGACTGGTAACAAAAACTTAGGGCAAGCACTTGT